CTATCTGAATGATTTTCATTCAGTTATATCCATTTAGATACATTTAGAGCTCTTTGAAAACTTAAACATAGAGGGTATATTATTATTTTTTAAGAGATTTGAGTCTAATTGATTGAAAGACAGAGTTACAAAGCTACGTGAAAAATATTAACAATATATGTCAAATTTTCCACAATTTGTGTACTTTACTATAAAAGCTTTTATCTGTTAAATGTTTCTACATTTAAAATTACTTTAAATTTTATTAGTAATGTTTAATTTTATTGTAACTGCAAATATCACTTTATATTTTTTACTTAGCAGTTTTGCTTATTAAATTATGAATACATACAAATTTATTTGGAAAATGGAAAACATATACAAAACTAATAAGTTGTTTATATAGAGTGTTAGTAAATAAGTGCGCCAAACTTCAAGGCATAGTTCTACATAAAAAAATAATGACAGTATGCTATATAAACGTAATAAGGGGCCAGATTCAATTCTTATAGATCGACCCAAGTTTTTTTATTTATTTTTACTGCTGCTTACGGATTGCAACGGTGGATTTTGATCCAAGTGGTCAAAAAATTGCTATAAACATTGTTAATTGCTAATGTTTATAAGGCTCTAGCTCATAAACTAAAAGAAATATAATTTTTTTCCAAATTGAATTTGTTTCTTTGAAAAAAAAATTAAAAAAAATAGAGTTTACTCAACTTTAATCCAATAATCGAAACTCGAGATTTCTTCTTAATTCTTAACTTCAATTAACTAATGTTTGTATCAGGTATTTTAAAATTAATGCAAACCTTGCATTTAAAACATTAATGCAAAATACTTTTTAAAGCTTTTTTGATCATAACTAGGCTTCTTGGCATGCAAATGAGTTTTACAAAGTACATTAACTACATTTTTGTCTGCTTTTCTTCACTTTTTTATGCTTTTTTCTTCGTTTTTCAGCATGTAATTCACATTTGCTGTAGATCTTCCTTACAGACTTTCATTAAAATTTTCACTTGACGCTGAATTATATGTTTTTCGTTGTATATATCGTTACGATGAGTTAACTCGTCAATACATTTCTCTCTGGGTGCCGTTCTCTTCTACACCTTCCAAAAATTCGATAAAAGAATCCTCATATTGTGTTATTCTCACCATGACAATAAATGCGACCTATGTATACCAAGAAATTTAATTCATATTTTATTTAGTCACTAAATTTCTTGCTACGATCTAAGAATTCGCATTGTTATAACGAACATTCATTGTTATATTTTTTACTGCCTATGATTCATTGCGATATATCATTACTGATATGACGAAGTTCTTATAAAATGTATATTTAATTTTTATTAAATCTTTTTTGTGTTTACTTAATAGACGATTTTGTTTGGACAAAATAGGGCAGTATGTGACAATGAACTACTAAACGTACATTAAGTACATTAAGTACATTAATTTAAATATTTGGAGGATCTGATACGGGCAAATATAATGGAAAACTAACACAGTGTGTAAAAAAGCCCATTTCTCTTTAATATAATAATGGACGAAATAATACAATACTGCATTATATTATGCAGAGGACGCCACATTTATCACCTAGACCGAAGACGAACTCCGAAAATGAACACATGTCTTTAATAAAACAGCCAAGAAATACAATATGATAATATTAGCAGAAAAAAACAAATGTATGACAACATCTGAATACCCACTACGATGTAAAATCAAACTGATGGGAAAATAATAAAGCAGGAAGCAAGGTTTAGATATGTGGGAATAGATATAACTAGTTACGGATATGTTGAATAAGAACTAGGACAACAAATCTTAAAGGCAAGTAAAGAGGCGGGAACTCTTAATGACACAATCTGAACAAACAAACACCTAAGCAAGACACAAAAACAAGAATTTATAAAGCAGCAATTAGACCTATATATATACATACAAGGCGGAGCTAAGACCTGATACATCTAAAATGAGACGACTACTAGAAACAATATAGATAAAAATACTCCGACGAATATCAAGGAAAAGTCTGTTGGATAGGGAGAGAAGCGAAAAGGCATTAATGGATGGGTGACAAAACAGAGACAGAAGTGGAATGAACACATTAGTAGAATGGTAGAAGCTAGGATAGTACAAATAGCACGAGATAAGTCACCAAATGGACGAAGAGGTATTGGCAGACCAAGAAAAAGATGGTCCGATCATTTAAACAATTTAGAAGGCTAATATTGAAGAAGAAACAGGCTTTAAAGCTCAAATACTAGAACGAAGAAGAAGAAGAAGATAATTGCTGTCAAGAACATTACACAACAGATTTACAACTGAATACATGACGAAAAGCGCTGTTTATTTTGCGCTACGAGAAGCCAAAAATGTAAATAGCCACAGTAAGAAAAATAAGAAATTACCATTTAGTCCAAGACCCGTAATATCATAATATGCAAGTCAAACATGGACAATGACAAAACAATGTATTAAATCTTTCATTAAGAGATAAAATTCTGAAATGGCTATAATTATTTCATTAGATTATCGAAGAAGTGAACACGTGTTTAAGTTTTGTGAGCAATATGAAAGGCCAAAGCAGTCAAACTAAACGGCGGAAAGCAGTCAAACTAAAGCCCAAATTTATACTATTATATACAACGTGTATTGTGGATTGTGTGTGGAAATAAATTAAAGTATAATGGTCAACGATGTAGTTACTCAGTGTGGTGATTTGACTAAAGTATCGACGATAACTGTATACAGAATTCTAAAAAATTTAAACAAAATGAAGGCAAATTGGATAATGTATCTCTTGAAAGCAGTGAAACCAGGGGTAGAAAATGCATCCAGCTTGAAGATAACACCAATTATGATATTCGTAAGAAATTCCACGCTTTCTTTTTTGAACGAAATTCGAACCTTAAAGAAAGTTGAACTCGAAATAAATTTCTATGATACCATATCACAAATTTTACAAGTTTTATTGCGAGCATTAAGGCAAATGAATATCAAATATATGACAAGAGCAGGAACACTGTTCTTATAAAAAAAGATGAAGTTCCCTTGTGAAGCAGACATTTCTTACAAAAACTCCGAGAGTATCGTCGTGAAGGGCCAAAAGGGTACGACTTAGATGAAACTAGGCTGAATCAAGGTCATACTGCCTCAAAAGTGTGGCAAGATTTTGAAATTAAAAGTCGTCGTCAAGCCTTCATTGAAGGGTTTTCAACAGGTTTAAAAACACCAGTGGGTAAAGGACTCATAGTCATAGGAGGCTCAAAATAACACATATAGGTAGCGATTGGGGTTTTGTGGACAACGGTTTGTTACTATTCGAATAAAAAACTATCGATTATCATGAAATAGAGGCTTAAATATTCAAATGTTGGTTTTCAAAGATTCTACCAAATATTCTGCAAGATTCTGTTGTTGTTATGGACAATCCGTCATACCACAGTCGACAGTTTAAGCCAACACCAACAACAACTGTCTGGCGAAAAGTTGATATCATCAACTTGAATAAAATGCTAGAATATTAATTATTCCAAACTCTCAATGATGTCGTCGCTTTATTGCATTCACATTTCTAAATATCTACTGTCTAGAAATTTGATTCTCAACTATAGTAACTAATTCTATCTCGTATTTGTGTAGTCTTGTACCAAGAAGACGTCAATTGCGACGTATTCCTATGTCTAGTCGACTTCGAAAAAGCTTTCGGCAAAGTACAACACCGAAGAATGGCAAAAATACTGCAGAACACAGAATTAGATGACGAAGACGTAAAAATCATTGCCAATCTATACCGATATCAGACAGCCATAATACAAATAGACCAACAAAAATCAAAAGAAATAGCTATAAATAGTGGAGTAAAACAAGGATGTGTTCTTTCCCCCTTTACTTTTTAATATGTATTCAGAAGAATTGTTTAAAGAGGCATTAGAAGATGTAAATGATGACATATTTATTAACTGAGCATTTTTGAATAATCTTACATACGCAGATGACACAATAACGCTTGCGGACAGCAGAGAAGGACTACAGATCTTGGTTGACCGCATTTCCCAAAACTGCGAAAGGTATGGAATGGCACTGAATACAAATAAAACAAAAATCATGGTGGTAAGCAAAAACAAGATTGAGGAAGACAGTGTTTATGCTAAAGGAAAACTTTTAGGCAGGGTGCACAGATATCAGTACTTAGGTTGCAAACTAAATGAAGAATGGGATAGAAGTACGGAAATAAAACGGCGTATTAAGATAACTAGAAGTGCTTTTAATAAGATAAAAGCAATATTATGCTTGGAAATGGAAAAGCAATGGAAAACTCAACATTGAAATTAGAACTAAGGTATTGAGATGCTACATGTTCTTTGTCCTGTTGTATATAGTTGAGGCCTGGACAATTACAGAGGCGACAGAGAAAAGAATGTGGAAAATGTCTTGGACACAACATATAACAAATGCGGAAACGCTACGAAGAATGAAAAAAGATAAAGAAATACTCAACAATGTAAAGAAAAAAAAACACGAGCTACTTTGCTCACATACTAAGAAACAAGAAATACGAATTGATGCGCCTGGTAAAAAATGGGAAGGTGGAAAGCAAGAGAGGACTGGGGAGAAGTCGCACATCCTGGTTGAATAATCTGAGACAATGGAGTGGGAAAACGTTAATAGAACTTTTCAGAACGGCTGTAGATAGAGTCAAATGGGCCATGATGGTCGACAATGTCCTTAGGGATGAGGCTCGTTAAAAATAAGTAGGGAGAAGCCAAAGTGTGGTTGCTAAAGTACTTTGTTGTATCAACTATCTTTTATAAGTTAATTCGTGCATAGTTTTACTATGTACTCTATACTAGCATGGTTTTTGTCATTGATGATAGTTTCAAATTTACTTCTTGATTTTAGCTCTTTTATTACAAATATGATTTTTAAATTATTTTCTTTTTTTGTTTAAATTTGATAAACAGTTCTACTTTATTACATATATAAATATAAACTGTTTTTTTCAGGTTCACTATCCGGACTCACAGAAGGCTTATTGTTCGCCTGGAGTTCACCGTTCCTCATCAAAATCACCCACGACAAAGTTAACTATGACATCTCAGAAGAACAAGCTTCATACTTCGTCACAATCCAACCGCTAGCCATGATGGCCAGCTCTCCCATCTTCTCTCACTTGTGCGATGTGATAGGAAGAAAGAAAACCCTAATGTTAATCAGTATTCCTCAAGTACTAAGTTGGGTATTAGCTGGAGTCGCAAAGAACGTGTATGTGTTTTATGCTGCTCGAGCCTTAGCTGGTATGGGCAATGCGTGCTTTTACTCAGCGTTTGCGATTTACATAGGTGAAGTGGCCAATCCCACTGTTCGAGGAACCTTCGGCAACTCCATAGCTTTTACTTTTTATCTTGGTGACTTCTTAATTGCCGTTATTGGTAGTTATTGGTCTGTACAGCTGACTTCTTGCGTTTGTGTAACCTTACCAATTTTGTTTTTGATACTGTTTAGCTTTATGCCAGAATCGCCTTATTGGCTCGTTATGAAAGGTAAAGAGGAAGAAGCCAGAAAATCTTTGAAATTTTTAAAAAGGAAAGAACACATAGATGAAGACTACATCCAACTTAAGAAAGACGTGGAGAGGCAGATGTCAGACCAAAAGGGCTTGAAAAGCTTAATTAAAACCAAAAGTAGCAGAAGAGGTTTACTGGCATGTATATTCCTCAGATTTTCTCAGCAATTAGGTGGTCTTAATGTGTTCATGGCTTACACTCAGTTTATTTTTCATAAATCTGGTAGTTTCTTGAGTGACACTAAAGGCGCACAGATTTACACAGGTCTAAACTTTGGATTTAATATTATAGTGTCTATGTGTGTCGTTGATAGGCTTGGTAGACGAAAGGGATACATTACATCCCTACTGGCAACTGCTGTTGTATTTTTTACCATGGCCACTTACTTCTATTTAGACGAAAATGTAGACATAGACGTCAGTTCCTTTAATTGGATACCGCTGGCCGGTATGGTTTTATATTTAATATTTTCTTCTTTCGGAATGGCAGTTATTCCGACTTTAATGTTGGGAGAGGTTTTTTCGGCGAGACAAAAAGCTAACGCTCTAACCATTTTGCTATTCGTGTTTGGTAGTGCTGCTTTTATAAGTAATCAACTCTTCTACTACCTTAATAGCCGTGTGGGCTTCTACTTTCCGTTTTATTTCTTCTGCGCTTGTAATATCGTGTCTAGCTTTATTGCCTATTTGATCGTTCCTGAAACAAAGGGGAAGACTTTGGAAGAAATTCAAGAGGATTTGAGGGGACCTAATGAGAAAGAAAAGGAAGTTGAAATTGAAAGTAAAATTTAGATGTAATTAACCGGTAGTACTATTTAAGCTTGATATATTTCAATGCCAATGTATATAAACTGTCATTTCTCTCTAGATCGAATTTCGTTTAGTTTTTAGGAAACACGATTATTTATGTCATCCATTACCATAATATTAACAGGTAGATTTCCTTACAAACGGGGCATAGGGGAATGCAGGGCAAGTTAAGACAAATTTTATATTTTAATTTTTACAATTGTAGTTAGGATTTTTTTCGTATTACAAACGTTAAGATATATTTTCATACGTTACAAATGTTTCTAAGATATTAATTTTTTGATTAAATTGATATTTTTCCCAACATTGACATTTTTGTATAATGGTACAAAGTATATCAATGTTCCGCACATAGCGGCAAGTTGATATTAGCTGGAGGCAGGTTAAGACAGGTATATACATATATACGTATATACATGTCCAAGAAAATGGATATTAATATAGAAATTAATCACTTAATAAAATATTAAAATAATTTAGAGGTACCAGAATAAAAAGTAAAATATATTATTCATGTCATTGATAAAAATTATGAGGGCTTTGTTAAAAACTCATTCTGAATCGCGGATATTGACTGTATCAAGGACATTTTACTGTCCTTGCTACAGTCAATGTGTACCGATTTTTTACATAACATGGTGTATCCAGTCTTGACCAGGTATGGATTTTGAGGCTCCAAACATATGAGACACAAGATATGATCCTCTTCCCTAGACTCAGATTCTTTGAAACCAATTTTTTTCTTCTTCTTTGTGTCAGTCTTGATCATTTTATTTAATTTTTATTTATTTTTTTCTATTACAGCATGTTTTTTGTTTTTTTTCTTCACCTTATTTCTCTAGTCTTTTCTTTACTGGAGACCCTGTAAAATCCGCAGATTACAAGGGTTTCTTCTCTTTTTCTATTATTTTCCCGCTCTTTAGCTTTTGGATAGGGACGAATTCATTAAATACTCACCGATTACAGGTTTTTTTATTTAATAAAACTCCAACAGGAATCTTATGATTATTGCTATCTGATCATTCATTATAATCAATAATCAAGTAGGTTTTATATACAAAATATTACAAAAAACTTATCTAAGGTTACATTTAGCAATATTCCTTAGGCTCTAATACAGTATAGTACTACTAGCTAACGTGTACACTTTAGCCACACTTTGCTCTGCTTTTTCACTTTCACTCACTTATAGCACTAACTCAAACGGCTTCGTTTTCTTAAGTCTTCTTATCTGGTTGGCGTTATCTAGCAGTTAACTTAATTATTAATTCCTGCTTTTTTTCTTAATATGTGCTTTCCTAATGTCATACCCAAATATTTTGCCGAATTTGCATAAGTTATTTGGTTTCTATTTATACTAACTGCGATATGTTGTTCTCTTTTGTTAGTAAAGTTTACATGAATAGATTTATTTGATTCAATTTGATATACCATTGCCTGGTCCATATGTTAATTTGTTCAACAGAGTTTTGTGTCCTGGTTGCTGCATCCTCGTGGTGTTGTCCGACTGCTAGAATGCATGTGTCGTTTGCAAATGTCGCAGTTGTGTTAAGTTCTAATGATGGAATATCACTTTTATAGAGCAGGTATAACACTGGCCTCAGGACACTTCCTTGTGAAACTCTAGCTTTACATTCTCTTAATTCTGAATATGCTTCCTCATATTTAACTCGAAAGTATCTGTCAGATATATACCGTGGACAGGTGCATAGAAAAATTCTTTAGATTGGTACTCCTGTGACTGCATCTTCTCAATATTGCTAGTCTTAGCCTTAACAGTTTCAACAGCTCTGTTTTAAAAAGTCATCTCTCTATTTGTAACTGAAGTTAACAGATCTAAACAAAGTCCAAAAATATAATATTCGTAGGATTTAAATGGTCACTGTAAAATTTTTAAAAAGGTTCGTAGACTGATCTGTCAAGAGGTTTCGTGTGATAAGGAGTGTAAAAGAGAAAGAGCAATAATGACGGTACTCGTTTCTTTACAAAAATCAAGCACTTCAATAAAAATATATGATTCATGGTTGCTCAAAACAAACAAGCAGGGACGGTCTTTTGTAGATCTTACTCATTCGGATGTAATCCATCTTAATGAGTAGGAGGTTCCGATGGATCTTGGTAGCTGTTGAATAAGCAGTGTTGATAAAATAGTGTATGAAAAACACTTGTGGAAAAACAAACATCAGGGGAACCAAATTTTCTATGGCGCTGACTTTTCCCTACTTGGCCTACTTCTTGCTTTGCTTTAATTAGCAACACTGGTTTTATTAAAGCTGCTTGCTTGGTTTGGACTCATAGCTTCTGACTCACTGATTCATAGTCGATCGTGTGTTTGTATAAATAATGTGAACCAGTCTTTTGTATCCATTTTATGGTAAACCCATGTATCAGGTACAACAATGATATTCTTATTAGCCTTAGCAAGTTCATAAGCTAATATTTTAATGTTTTGTGAAGTAAGTCCACAGTAATAAGTAATTTTTGATAAATGTATCATGTAGACTTCAAGTTCAGACTTTAGTGGATCTGGGAAAATCTGTCTTCGTTTATCATATCCCATTACAATCTTTCGACCGTAAGATTCGTCGTTTTTCCTTATAAATCTAAGTAAAGAAATTTTGTTGATTTCAAAAGCCATAGCTGCTTCTCTTAGAAATCTTAGAAATCTTTCATCTTAGAAATGATGTCTATGAAGCCATAGACATCATTTGAGCTGTGATGGCTTCATAGGCTTTCTCGAAGTTTAAAATTGGGATTTTTCCTCAATGATGTTTCTAATATAGTTCCGCACCATATTTATGTATGTAAAGAATAAGATACTAGACCCTATCAATATGCCGGGCCTCTTGTATCAACTTGCCCTCATTGAATATTTATGTCTTAGATCAAACTAACTATTTAACCAAGAATACTGAAAAAGTAAATTTTTTACAAAACACGCACGTTTAGATACACTATAAATTGTACCAACAGTGAATTTCCTAAAAGATATCTTCTTGCTGGTATATTCACTCAAAGATAACCCTCAAAAATTACTTTGCACCAATGAAAAGGCACTGAGAATTTCTCAGTGCCTTTTCATTTACTTCCCTCAAAACCTCAAAACTTCTACTTACTCATTTTCTGTCTAGACCTGCGCGTTGGCCCACTGTCCCTGCTGAATCAACTTGCCCCGCTTTTTCCTATCGTAAAAACATTGGTTCACATTAAAAGATCTTATAACTAGGCTAATAACGTAGTAACATCCCAAATAATTTTTTTATCTAGATAATAATTCTACTGTGATATAGATATATATATATATTAGAAATGACAAATGTAAGAAAATGATGTTTTCCTATTTTTAATTATTTTGTAAATATTTAAATTTTATTTGGATTACACTGGGCGGTAAAAAATATATTGTTTTGTTCCAAAAGTTTTATTGACTGATTCTTATAGTACTTTCTGCACTGAATACAAAAATGATAATAGGTTTTTTTTTATTACGTATGGTTTTCTTGTGACAGTTAAATACACATGACGCTGTTTTTGCCTATTTACAGCGATATGGATATGGGTTTACCACATTAAGAGGTGGTTGTGAAGGATTTTCTTGAGGATTCTGCTTCTGGCACATCCGTTTGAAGTGTTCAGCAGTAGTGAGCTAACATTCTAGCACTCCATTTTTCTTGATATCGTTTTTCCATTCTTAAAATATCTTGATTACAACGTTCTCTAACCTCTTCAAGATTTTGTGGGTTAAAGTTAAAGTGGAATCAAGGAAATGGCTTTTAAGAGACATGCTGAAGCTCAAATCACTGTAGGGTTTTAGTTTATGGTTCACAGATTCCGTGTAGTTGTCGTCTTTATATTTTCCCAAGACGTTTAGACTTGTTAAAGTTCTTGAATAGGTGGTTGATGAACTAGCTTTTTAGATCAATACCTACATATTTAGGTCACATGGGGATACTGCTATTCCAACATGTGGTGGAACCCAGAGCAACTTGATGCTTGTATCTTTAGTATGCAATTTATTTAGTTTTTTCTTTATTAGTAAAGCTAATGGATGCTATGTGTATAATTTCTTGATTATGTGTAGGAATGACAGAATTACTTCTGTTAATATGGTTGCAGTATCTGGAATTCTATGTTTGAGAATCCCTGTGTTGTTAATTATTGCCGCTCAAGTTAATTATATTTCTGGAGGGTTCTATGCTTAGGCTAAGATTAGGGCTTTTTGGAATTGTAATAGACTGCAAATAACTTGGAATTTTTACAATCTAAGGTGGAGATGAAGATATATTTTTGTATTCATATAAGGGTAGAAATTGCTTCCATTAAGTAGTTTAATTACATGATGGATTCTGCGGGAATATGGAAGAGTGAATTTTGAACAGACATTAATTATGAATATGTTGTTTCTTTGAATTTTTTTTAACAGTTACGCTTGGAGGGTTTTTGATGATTAATAGCTGCCTACTAAGCTTTAGCGTGGGTTCACCTATTTCAGCTTGAATGCTATTTATTAGAGTTGTTCTGTACTCTCTAAGTATAATCCTTAGAATGGAGTTATGTAACGTATCCAAAGGTTTTACCGTTGTTGTAAAGAAAAATGCATATTCACCACATCAGAAATCAATTTTGGAACGAATTAAGGATCTAAAGAGCATGAAAAATGTTTTACCATCGTCACTCCAAGTTTTGTGAGCTAGGTACTTTAAAAAATTGAAGCAATTTTGACATGAAAGAATTAACTGCTGGATAAGATTTTTCCAATTTAACTGCTGATCCACATCATTCCTAGGAATTTTTTTAATAGAACAAAAACTAAAACTGTTACTTTACTAATTTACTAGTTTTGGTAGGATTCCGTTTTGTTGTTCTTTAAGATAGAATATAACATCATTCGCTTAAACGTGAAATGTTCTATGATTTAATTAATTGTTTATGTAGGCCAAAAGATTTCCTTTTTTAAAACCAAAACTTAAGGCCAAAACTTT